AGCTGTCCTCTGTGCCTCAGATGACTTGCTGTCACTTTGGGAGATGCAGCTGCTCCACTGATTGTTACTACTGGACGTGAGCATTGGATTTCACAAGTATCTTAGTCAAGATCCACTGGATCTTGACCTGAGGGACAGAAACCAGCTCCTGGAAATGAAAGGAGTCATTCAAATCTGAGAAACTACTTCCAGCCCTCTACAAGCCCACTTTGGGAAAGCTCAAGCTCAGCATTCAAACCTTCCATGAGCTGCAAGGGAGCCTACAGAAATATCTGACAAAGATAGACCTGGCAGATAAAACTCACAGCTCCAGTAACCACAGGCTCTCCACCTGGCTCCTAGGAGCTATCCACCTTATCCTTTCTGTCCCTCTAGCTCCTTCCCTATACATCTTTTCTCTACAAGTGCCTGATATCATTTTTTTTTCAGAAATAGCCTATGATATTCAGTAAAGCAAGTGTTGCTCATTTTTGTTTGGCTTTGAATTGCTGCTTCTATTTCAGATGTAGGGGACAGGGCTTGTGTACACAAACTCTTGTTTAATTTTTCCAGCTGTACTATATGATCTAACAGAAGTGAACATCTCATTCTACTAATCTCACCCTGTTGCCCTGAGGATAGCCACACTGACAGAGGACAAAATTGTTTCTGTGAAGACAAAATGTGCACCTATAACAAGCAAAACTCTCTCTAAAGGTGTTGGAGATTCTGTCTCAGTGACTTATTGCCAAGCTTGTGCAGCAATCAAAAATTAATCCTTTAATATCTGTATACAATTTGCAAGATAAAGTGATTAGAGACTCTGACTGTTGACCCACCGGTAGAGGAAGGGCTTCTGGAGCCCAATTCATCTTTGTCTGGTTGTTCTGTATCTGTTAATTCCCCACAGGTTTGACTGTCCCATCTTTAAAGCCCTTTGGTGACAGAATATATGCAGCGTGCTCAAACAACCTAGATAAGTCCATCTTTTTCTTTTTCCTTAGAAAGAGATTATTTTTACCTGAAAAGATGTGTGGAAGTCTTTATTGACCTCATTTAAACCAATAGCTTGTCACAGCTAGAGTTCTCAACAAATGTGCGAATGACTGAAGTGTCTCTACACACCATTCATTTAATGATCACCTTTGTGCTTCTTTGTACATTAAGCAGTCTTTTTCTTGCACATTTTATTGGGAGAAAGAAGTGTTACCCATGTGGGAGCTGAACCAGTGATCCCATGTTGGGAGATCAGTATCTCGTGCCTGAGGCCACTCGTACACAATGTATGACTTGGATTAGAAAAATATGTTGAAATTCTCTCTCTGCCAAACTCTCTTCCATGAAAGTTACACTCTTGGAAAAAATTTTATGTTTAGTAATTGAGGAAAAATTTTGTCATCATTGGAGGGAATCAGTTGGTGCATCTTAGCAGAGGGAGAAGGACAGCACAATACACTGGATGGATGGTTTGAATGCTTACAATATAAATTGGACACCCATAGGGATAGCCTTCCTTTTAAAGCTGCATAAATGAGAAAAGGTGATCTGCACATTTCTACAATCAGGGAATGTTGTCTGTTTCCCAATTCTGGCGCCAACTTTGCATTTAAATTCTAACCATATTGTTACAGTCCATTAATTTTTGTAGACTGAAGCTGTTGCAGTGCCACACAGGAAAATATGTAGCACAGATGTGTTTGCTGTTATGATTTTTTCCCTGTTTTTTTTTTTTTTTAATGTTTTTAGAAATAGCTGTAAAATAAAATAATAAAAGCACTCCAAACAATTCATACACAGACTAAAATTAAATCCACATCACTCTTTGGCTGTTTGCAGAGCTGTAGTTCTAAAGCTGAGAATACTCCTGCCACCTATTTCGGTGTAATTAGAGTTCATTTGAAGTCTGATGGAATTTCATTCCTATTCTGAAGGACATCTGTTGCAATAAATTTGTTTCTTGGACCAAAGAAAAGCTATTCAAAAAATTAATAGCAAAGGGCAGCTATGCTGCAAGCATCTGAGAGGGGTCTAGCTTGCTCAGCTTTTTATGGATGGAATGAAACTGCCATTAAAAGCAAATCTGGAGCATTTGCTCAAAGGAACTTGTTCCATAATGTGTTTAGCTTGTTGCAGTTATTCCTTCTCTCTGTGTCAGTAATTTTGAACAGCAGGATAAAGCCAGTTAGAGGACACCACCACAGCAGGCACAGAAATACTTGTCAGAATAATTCTCTGCGTTAGGAGGGGGAGCTAAAAAGGCACAGGGCCAAACCTGGCTTGTATTAATGCCCCTGTTAGCACATGACTTATAGAAAAATACCAATAATGCTCAAATGTGGTCCCCCTGTGCCCTGTGTACCAGCAAACCCCAAAGAGTTGCTGTTTGCATTAATGGCATTGCAAATTAGCCACTCCCTGCCATCCTTCCTTTTGAGTTTGTTGCATAAAGTAGGAAAGATGTGACTTCCTTTTGGTTCCCTCCAGATCTGGGGTGCCACTATTGTTTTATGTGACCACAGTATGTATGTCAGCTTTTGCCCTTTTATAGCAAGAGAAAGATTATGACCTAATGGAAAACCCTTTGTAATTTTCTATTCACTCCTTCATCCAAAAGGGTATTTTTATACCCTCAAGAGGTAAATTAAACATTCCTCACAGACATACATGATGTTGTGTATATACACCACACAGACACCTATCTACATGCTTACAGCAAGCATATACCTACATGTTCATAATTGGCAATTAGTATTGAATCAGCACAGGGAACAGAAAATTAGTAGATTTTAATGCCAGCACTAGTATCTTACTTGAGAGCTATACAAGTTTAATATTGTATTACACGTCACCACAGACAGCAGGAGTACCTTTGTTGCACAAAAAGAAAGAGATACACACTTTGCAGGTTCCATGGTGTTTGTAACAACCTTTCCATACAGTTTCATGCCTTTTTTTTTTGGTAAGGCTTTATCCAACTCAGCTTGGCAAGTGCAGTTGTCATGGTCCTGTTGACTTAATAGGGTGATGACAATTTGCATCTGCAGAGGATGAATCCCAGGAGAAAGAGAAACTTCCTTTGGAGAAAAGTGCTAGCATGGCCAGAGTTTATCAGGAAAACCTGCACAAGTAAGTGTAGGCCCTAACAAGATGCACATATTGCATTGATTTTCTGCTTCACTGAGAGAAGGGAGTGACTACACTAAATACAATTTCTTCTACAGTATCTGGAACATACTTAGCTGTGTCATCAGGAGTAATTTTTAAGAAAATGAAGACTTTACCATAGCTATTAAAAATGTAGCAATAAAGCAAAAAATCTTATGAGGTGGTGACATAAGTAGTCATAATTCATTTTTATGAGAAAACAATATAGTGAAGACTGAGCCAGACTCTTCCTAGAGGTGCACAGCGGGCAAGAGGCCATGGAGACAACCCACAAGAGTAGAACTTCCAGGTATTGGGGAAAAAAAATCTCCCAGTGAGGGTAGTCAGATATTTGAGCAATTTTCCCAGTGAGGTTGTGCAATGTCTGTCCCTGTGGATATTCAAAACTCAGCTGGAATAAGTCCTGATCTAAGCTGGCTCTTCTTTTAGCAAATGGTCAGACTATGCGATTTTCAAAAGTCTCTTTTAACATGCATTATTCTTCTTCCATGACTCTCAGATGAGATTTACTTAATTCACAGGAGTAAAATAGCTTTGCTGTTTTCCCAGTCCTTAAACAGATTTCTCTGACAGAGACAGGAAAGCCACAGAAATTCTCAGTTTTAGGGAATTTCTAAATTTCCCCATCAAAAATGAAAACTGAAGTATTTGTCTAAACACAGTGGCATTTGTGTAGTGTAGACCATCATTGTTTGCCAGGTGCTTCAGGTACTTAGAGGATGGATATTACACATTTAAATACATAATGAATAGCCATTTAATAGTAAGAACAACACTTGAACGTGTTTTTAGAAATCATACATGTCCTGTCCATTGGCAAATGGGTTATAATTCCTGATGATGTCCTTTCAAGTATTGCCTGGAGAACTGGGACAAGCTCTGGGTTGCCTGTGACTCATCTGTGAAGTGTGTGTTCTCCAGAAAAGCTGATTTTTGTGCCTCCACATGCCTCACTACATCAAGCCTGCTTGAAACCTGGTCTGAAAGTTTTCAGGTGCTGAATGAAGGCAAGGTCTGAAAGTTTTCAGGTGCTGAATGAAGGCAAAACAGGTCCTTAGACAAATAAGGGAATTCTCACTATTTGTAGTACATGACTGGTATCTGAGCAGGCTCATTTTATTTCTGATCATTGACTGAAAAAATACCTTAAAATCTGATGATTGGTAGGTGACCAGCAATGAATCCCAAACAGGCAGCAGAGGAGAGCGAGGAAAGACTGAGTTACACATAACTACCCTGTCTCACTTCTACAGGGCAGGTATTTACACAGGCTGAAGTTCACCTCACTCCAGAAGAGGCGTGGAGAGCACTTGAGAACTACTTAGATCCTTAAAACAGGACTTAAGTGGGACTTAAGGGCTGTTCCAGCCATCTGTGTGGATGAGAATGCCACCTACAAAGAGCAGCATGGCTCAGACAAAGACCTGTTCATGGGAGAGCTCACAGATAATGAGCAACAAGAGGTTTAAATGCAGCTGAGATGTATAACTGACCAGAATAGGAAAGAGATGCTCGATGCTTTAGCGTGGCTCTGCATCCTGCCTGTTGTGTGTGTGGGGGGGGAGTGTTTGCATGTATACAGGCAGAAGAAAACACTTATAAAACATGCACACACACTAAGTGATTATTGTGATGTCCTTAGCATGCTTGGGAAGGTTGAACGAAAAATAATGTCAGACTTGTTCTGTATTCAGCTATGGAGAACGAGAAATGCTGCTGCTAATAAAGGCAGATTTGGCAGCTGCAGAGCCTTGGCAAGGGTACAGAGTTCCTTCGTGTGCTACTGAATAGCTCCAGCTGTGCACAGCTTGAAATGTATCTTGAAAGCACTGAAAGACAGCTGTCCTGCTCACTGCCCTACTTGCCTGGCTGAGAGAGGATGAGGACGCTTTTAATTGTAAGTTAATGCAGTACTTTGGGTCCTTTCCCTGCCTGCTCTCCCTTTTCCTGGTGCAGGAACATAAAAAGAAGATGTGTCCATGGGACAGCCAGCAGGTAGGGGTGACACAAGTCATCCCAATGTAGGATAATGGTACTGCAGATTTGATCTGCTGTTGGCAGAGAGAGAGAGAGATGACTGCCAGAGGCATGCTGTGCATTATGGCAGAGTTTTGATATTCACCCAGCTCAGTCAATTATTGGGATCCTCTGTTGTTCTGCTCCTCCAGGGGGATAAGATAAACCTTTTTCTTTTTGTACTGTGTTTACAATGAAGTGAGCAAGATGGGAAAAAAAGGAAACTGCACTGCAGTGCTTTACATCTCAGTGGAGGAAGGTCTTCTGCCTCCTGCAAAAATGTCAGCAATATATCAGGGAAGAGATCTTAGGAGTGGTGGCCATGTCCTCCACTCTAGCAGAAAAGCCCCGAGCCATCTCTGCCATACCTTTCAGAGTGTGCAGGAAACTGAGTCAGTAGGATTAACTACATAGTTAAATTAAATATAAACACAGTTGTCAAGATGATAAACTAGGGCTTAACACTTGCTGTGGCAAGTATATTGTTTTTTTCTCATCATTACAGCTCCTTCTGACCATCAGAGTGGGCACAGCTCCATTTCCCATTGCCATCCCATCATCCAGCCCCACAGAGCAACAAAATGTTTTCCTCTGTGCTCTCCATGGAAATGCTGCTGAGAAACCTCAATGTTATGATGGCTAGAAGTCTTGTCCAATTTCCAGGTGTGAGCTTATTTACAACCAGCTTCTACTCTTTTCTTCTCATGCCAATGTTGTTTGAAACAGCTCTTCTTCCTTCAGGTGTTTCCCTGCAATTCTTTATCCAGGCTGTGGATATGTGGGCACGTGGGTATGTGCACACACACTGTGAAAACTCTGCAGAGATCTATAGACACCTTCATTTCTCCACACAAAGCAAAGCTGATGAATGTCTGCCCAATTAAACCTGCTCCTCCTGTTTTTGAAGTCCATTAAAAGTTTTCCATAGGGAAAACCCATGTTCTGCTGCCTTGGAGAGCCCTTGTTAAAGCACTGCAACTACTTCACATTTTGGAGTCATCATTTTGGGGCCATGAGCCAAGCAGGACAATCTGGACAGTTCTAAAAGAGTGCCAGGAGATTCTGTATTGACTACACTGACTCAAATGCCTTGTTTTACCCAGATCAAGGTGGGAAATTTTGGTCATGTTTTTCATTACCATCTAAAATAAATTTTTTTTCCAAAAGAAAAAAAGTGTCAGTGTCAACAAGCTGGAATTAAAAAAAAAAAAAAAAAAAAGCTATTTTTCCAAAATGTACAATAAAAAGATTTGTCTTTCTTTCCTCCTTGTTCACTAAACACCAGGATAATGGCAAATATGTTGTTGCATCCAGAGCTATCCTTTCAGGTCACCTGTAGGGTCAAAAGTAGGGTTTGGTTTGGGGTAGCAGGTAGACAGAGAGGTCATGGGACTGGGTAAGGGATGCACTGGCTAGAAGTGGAGTTGCTGGAATATAAAACAGGGAGTTAAAAGAAATCCTGGGGAATGGGCCAGTTTAATTAGAATTTTAGTGGGGTTAAAAAAAATGCATTAACATGTTGTTCCTTAAGCACTGAGATTTAGGGAATATTTCTTGGGCTTCCTGAGGCTCCCTTCCATGTGGATCTCTCACACTGAATAACTGTGCTGAACTCATATTGTGACCTTTTCCACTAGCTTAGTCTCTATCCTGTACCCCACTGCTAATTATCCTAAATATTTTAAAACATAATACTGTGATGCCTTTTCCCTTCCTTTAAACTACACTGGAACCATCCAACAGTCTCAATAATTATTAAATGGGGGTAAACCTGACAGACAAACAAACAACCAGAGCACAGCTGCATAATACTCATTTCCTCAGGAAATGGAGCAAAATATTACAAACAAAGTCCATTTATTAAAGCTGTGCAATAATTTAATAAGAAGAATGTCAATGTTCCCCCGTTGAGACCTTACTTGGCTTTTAGGCTGCCCTTTTTGTCTTTCTTTCACCTTCCTCTGAAGATTAAAAGCTTGACTGTAGCTGGAGATGGGACATACAGATTGCCTGGAAGTGTCAAGCCATACCAAGCCAAGCCTGAGGATCACATGCACCTGGTTAAACTCACTGCCAGGTGCTGTGTCCAGGAGGAATTGCTTCCTTTCCTCTACAGAGTGCAGGATTTTCCCCTTCCCAGCCTCATCTGTGAGCTTTTATTCAGGGAATTCCCTGACACTGCCAGGGCTAAACACATCTCTCTTGTTCCCCTGTGGCATGTCACCTCTCCAGGGACTGGAGGAAACCCAAAACTGAAGCTCTGGCATTTTTTAGTATTTATTAGTATGGACCTGATGGACCTACTGTGTCTTGTAAGATCACCTGCAGTGTCAGCAAGGGGGACGTGGTGACTCAGATGGGACCCTGCAGAGACACAGTTCTTATGTCTGGATGGGGTTTACAGTGGTGCCCATGGCTTGTCCCTTCACTCTCCAACCTGAATAATGGCAAAGCACAGGCTCAGACATTCTCCATCAGCAGCTGCCAGGGACTTTCCTCAGCTGGTAATTCAAACCAGGTGACTGAGTTTTGGAGAGAAGAGATTTTTAGCCTCATAAATTTATTATGAGGATAAAATTAGTGATATTTAAAATTTTTAATTAATTAGATTTTGTTACCCCATTATATCAACTCCATGTCTTTTGAGATGCATTTAGTTGTATTCTACTGTTCACTAAAACTCTTTTTAATGATTTAAATTGCAGTTATGCTTGAGATGTGTGAGATGTTTTCTAGAAATGGAAACAGGTCCTGCATTTAAAGGCTTATTCTAAGATAGATGAGGCATATAAACATCTTGCTATATGATATATATATATAATCTAAATATATATAAATAGCACTATTAGTAGTGATTCATAAAATGCTACAGGAGCTATAACAGCATCATCAAACACTTTTAATCCATTTGCTGCTCTAGCAGGAACCAGACCATCATTTGACAATTTAGATATTTATTGCTTTATGGGGCACATGAACCTGTTTCTGCACAGAAATCCAATTTAATGGGAGGTGTATCTCCAACATGAATGGAAGGTGGCTGTTTATCTCCAGTTGCTGATGGATGAGAAGTTATTCATACAGCTGGTCACTTTTTGTTGGTTAATTGTCTTACAGGAGCTGTCAAGATGGTGATGTTGCATAAAGATAAGTCTGGGGTGTCCCTGGCAACCTGCAGACAGCTCATTTGCTGAGGAAACCTAAAATCTACCTACTTTAACACAAAAGTGGCATTTGAAACTCTTAGCAAGTTATCTAAAACCTCTATTTTATGGTAACATTTCACCATTCCAGTCTGTGAAAGCTGGAAACTAAAATTTTCCCGAAGTACAACATTCATTGGAGTTGCTGAAAGGACTGAATAGCATTTTCCAGAGCTAGATGATGGGCAGACAGAAAATATAGTGACTTGCTGAGCAGTCATAACTTTGAAATGAGCTCCAGCTGAGCTGAGGGAGGTGAGGTGTTATCTGGGACACCCAGAGCAGATGTCCACCCTGCACTGCAATATGCCAGTGTGTACTCACAGCCTCTTCCTGTCCCCTAAGGAGCACTGTACACACTGTAAGTGTCCCTGCAGCATCTCTAAAACAGAGAGGATTTGACTTAGCTGCTTTAGTGGTCAAACTTTAAACTTCTCAATCCAGGCCTGTGAACCAAGGTGCACATGGTGGCAGCACAGTCATCTTCTCTGGCCTATAGACACACAGAAGGGGCAGTGTTTAGAGGGAAGGGGGACATGGGTACCTCGTGTAGGAGACTAAATTTGGTGGTGGGGTGCAGCTGGGACTGGTTTTCCTGAAGCTCTCCAAAAGAGGAGGAGAGATACGTGGTCCTCCAGACCTTCCTTTAGGGGTGCAGCCTAAATCAGATACTCTGAAACTTCCCTCTCTGGTGGCTGTAGATGGAGACTAGGGAGCTCAGCCTATTCACCCAAATTTAGAGGAGAGCAGGTACCATGAACATCCCCCAGAGGGGGTAACCTGGAGCATATCCACAGCCACAAAGCAGTTTGTGGCTGGGCTCCATGGCAGCCTTGACCCTCTCCCATGGTGTCAGTATGTTACAGACAGCAGCCTGTGCAAAAATGTTTTACTGGAGACAACGGGACACTTAGTGGGGACAAACTGGAGAAATTAATAAGCTCCCATAGAGACAAATGTCCTACATTCATGGGAGGACAGTAAAAAGAGAACTTTCACCTCATTTATAAGCTCCAATTAGTGTCAGAGTTACAAATACTAGGAAACTGTGAAGGAGTCCAAATAAAAGATAAATGTCTTCAATCTTTAAATTCATTCATAGGCTATGAATCAGCATTTTTCTTCAGGTCTCACATACTTGAAAGCTTGCCAGCTCTTTTCCAAGCCTCTTAATCATTTGGACTAATAAAAATATCTCTTTCTATAAACCATGGTTTTCTTGTATACTGGGACCATCACAGCTACAACATCCATCTGTATAACTCCTCTGCTCACTGAAGTAACCAGTGACTGGGTTTTTGTCCTTTACAAAAGCTCTTTCCAACATCTGGATTTGTAACCCCTCAACCACAGAGGAAGGACTGGCAGGAGCCAAACCCCACACCTGTGTAAAGGCAGAACACACCTTTGTCACTTTGCTCACCCCTTTCATCTCATGAGCAGGTGGCTCAGGATGTAAAGATATATGTCATCAGCACAGCTTAAGCACATGTAGGTGTAGAAACAAGCTCTAACAGAGCTGAAAGGTATTAGCAAACTCAAGTGATTTGGTACTACTCGTTTCCAGCTCTCTGGAGCTTCCTGAACCAGTAGAAAATGTGTAATTCCATACCATTCAGCACAGACATGAAGCAAAGAAGAAGATCTAGGTCTATAACTGACTTATTACTAAGACCCGAGGTTCTGGCAAGAATGGACCTGGTCTGAAATTTGAAGACCAAACATAAACTTCTCAAATATGGAAGCTTCATGTCTGATGATTTGTATCTGTGCAAAAGAAAGCATAGGGTGGACTTGGGGGTTTGGTTTGTTTTTTTTAAATGTCAGGCAACAATGATGTTACCAAAGACCTGATTTGTCTTGATAAGTTTGGAGCATCCAAGAGATCCAGCCTGATTCAGAGCTCTTAGCACTTTACAAACCAGCATGAAAACAGTGTCTCAGTCCTAAAACCCAAGAGAAACAGTACTGCCAAAAGCCTGGGAGATGGAGGAGACAGGGAAATGCATCCACACCAATGTCTAGATGTAAATATAACCAGAGTGACTGGCAGGTCTGTGGTGGAGAATCTCTGACTGGGCAAACAAGAGCCTGCTCCCCTCATGAGCTTTCAAAACCTCACAAGTCTGAGCAGCTTTTCTGGCCTTTCCATCTCTCAGTCCACCTGCTACCTCTTCAGAGCAGTGGGACCTCAGTTCTACCTAACTCAGGAAAATAAACCTATTGCTGTAAAACATAACTGTTAACATAATTATACAGATGGGAACCAAAGCTAAGGTGGCTGAAGGTGAGATCCAGACAAAGAACCATTGCCAGTGTAAAATGATTCTGCATTTCAGGTCCTTCATTGTTCCACTTGCTTAGGTGTCTTTATCAGGTAGTTTGACATTGTATTCATTTGGAAGACACATAGGAAAGCTGGAACACATGTTCTGAGATGGCAGCAAAGTCTCTGTGCATTTACTCCATTTCCATCTCTTTCATGATGCCAGAAAATCGTGACCTCATGACAAACTTTGTCAAGCACGCAGTCAGCCAGGAGCCAGTAATAGTAGTGGTGTCTAAACCACCAAAAAAAGGACAATTCAAGACAGGGAGAACTGATATTGCTTGTAAAGAAGTCAAATTAAGCCAATTCATAAACATAGACATTCTTATTAAAGTGCCTAAACTAACACATCTTGTTATTTCCAGCATTCCAGTACAGCACATATATCCTAACCACAAGGCAGAAAGGATGGGGTTTCTAACCTCATCGGCAGCATGTTTTTTATAACACCATACAGTTCATGAAAAGCTTGGCATGCATTGCTGGATTCATTTATATCCATTAGAGAAGACCAGATGAGCTTGACAGTTTTATTTTCACTTGAAGATCTCTCGGTACAGCAGGCTGTCCTGATGGCATCAGTGACAACTGAAGTA